CCGGACTGCTATTCAAAAGGTCGCGAGTTCGATTCCCGCTCAAGTCAAACATTTGTGTGTGTTAACTTTAATGTTTGATTTGGTCTGGGTGTTTCTATGTATAATATGTATGTATTTACAAAAAAAAAGTATATATGTATTTATATCAGTTCTCTAGTACCCATGGTACAAGCTCTGCTTAGTTTGGACTAGATGGCGTTGTGTAAATGTGGTAGAATATTAAAAAAAGAAAAAAAGTTTATTACGATAATAGTAATTTATATGAGAATTTCTATGATAAATTTTCATTAAATTCATTACAACCTTAAAGTTTTATAAATTATTATTATGTAGGTTTATGTGTGTATGTAACTTGGTAAGTATTTATGTATGTGTATGTATTTGGTACGTATGTATGTATATTTATCGCATTGTTTTTGTATAACTTTTCGATCATTTTCTTTTACTTTATATGTCATTTTCTTTTACTCAATGTCTAGTGCACCTAGCCACACATTTCAGCACCACATTAAGGTAGACTTGAAGAAAATGCCTTTGGTATTAAGTGCGCCATTGTACAACTCATATTTGTGCATAAAAAATGAAATAAATAAATAAATCAGTAATTAAAATAAAACAGAAAATCATTATAAACATTAAAAAGCTTATAAGCAAGTCCTAAAATCCTTGTAAAATGTGTCGAGCGTAGTTTTGGATGTTACATTAGGAGAAGAGGCATGACCGTATTTTTTTATTATACTTTCTGCAAATACATTGCATGAGGTGACCTTAATGCCATAAGTATCAATTAATATTTTCACAGGCTATTCCATTACCAGTTTCCTTGTTTTCCATTTCCTGTTTGGTTATTCCTTATTAAAAGAAGTCTACCATTTTTCTAAGAGTACCTGCAAGCTCAGAATGTATGCGAATACTAAGTAAACCAGAACAGTAGATTCAATAAACAAATTGTTCGAAACTTCACAAATGGACGAAGACAGTAATCTATCAGCATATTATTCAGGTCACTTTATAATAATTTATGGATAAAAGGTGCTTCTGCAATGTTTCTGATGCGATGTTCTTAGGGTTGCTGAACCTTTACTTTTTAGGTAACAGACATCCCACCGGAGTTTACAGTGGTTTGTTGTGTCGTAATCGGGTCGACATAACACGGTGTGTCACTCTGCACCTGAAGTAGGAGGGAACCGGGGAGACTTAAACGTCCAGTAGGTAATCTAACTCACTCAGTGAGACGCAACGAAGGAATTGCTTGAGACGGTTTTTGTGACGCCATGGTACCGCACAGGTCGATTCCGCCCATTTGTGTCGAAGTATGTCTCTCCCACAGATGGAGTTTCCATACGGAAAAGATAACAACAACATGACACATCTTACACACGGCTGCTTGATTCCAAACTATGCAGAGCCTCTATTACGGACGGTAACGGTACGGTAGGTACATGTTATGGATAATCTTTACCAAGACAGAACAAATGATTATGGTAATCGCACAATATTTGTCGTGGATGGTAATCGACCTCTGGTTCGAATCGAGTCAGGTTTGCTAACCGCTAGACCAACAGGATTGTCAAATTTTTATTAATATAAATTACGTATAATCTTTAATCCCTTCATCTTATTACTATAGATGTTGTAGCTATCGTTAACGTAGTAATTCTATGTTATAATGAAGTACTCGTAGTTGGTTTTTTGGTGGTGGTAACACAATGGTTTTTAAATGCAATTACTTTAACAATTTCACGGGCAGTAACCGCTACCATTTGTCTAATTTTAGATGCCTGATGCAGTCTTTCTCATAGTATTGACCATTCATTCTTCATCATACCTAACAGTAATAAGCATTTACCATTTTCTTCTGCGTCCTTAAGCCTCTTATTAGATTCTGTTTTATCCTCTTTGTCAATATTATAAATGGCATAAAAAATATTTTAGTATCGTGTTTAATTGATTTGTTATATACCTAAAATATAGGTGCTAATGGAACTTATAATATCCAGGAAAAGTAAAAGCTATAAATCTTACTGCACACACAGTGTGTTATCATCAAAGACCTTATAATGTTCAGAGTGCTAGACTAGAGAGAGAGAATTTTAATTTACAAGCCCATATTCAGTAATAAAAGAACATGAAGTTGTGTTCACTCTTCTAACATAATTTAATCTAAAAGTAAAATATTTATTGAACTGATAAGATCAGAAAAGTGTAGGCAGTTTTACAATTAATTTAAAAATAAATACCAGTTTTAATGCGCCTAAATCATAATAAATTGTGATAAACTGGATTCTTCCTCCCTTAATTTTTGTCCTTATTTATGGAATAATTTCCTTGAACTTGAGTGGGATTCCGCACAACTAACTTTTATGAAATATAATAAAAATAGTTTACAAAAAAAAGACATTAATCAAGTTGAGAATCTGCCTTTTTCAAGCCATTTAAATGGAAATCTATTATTTAAACAACTGCAACAACACGTGTACCTGAGGCCTGTACTTTTGCCAGAGCTCAACAAAAATATTTAACCCCTAATTAAATTATGCTTAGTAGGTAAATGACTTAAAAAATTAGTCTTCAGTTTTTCTTGTAAAATTGTTAAATAAACATACGGTTCGTTTTGTAGTAAGAGTTTATACTGTGGTTGATTTAAATGAAATAAATACCAAAACAAAGTATATACATATTTGTGTGTTTTTCGCATTATTCGTTTCCTTTTATCCCCAATTTTTCTTCTATGTATGTTCCGTGTGAAATCGATAATATTTACAAGAAGGGGTAAAGTCAGAAAGGCGGCTATCTGTACGTATCTAATATATACAGCTAATTTATTTATATAATTCTTTTGGAACGATGTTCCTTTTCGCGTGTTACACGCATGGGAACAAGACCGAAAAATGTGTAACAATACTATTTCTCGAAACTTCAGTTGGCGCTTCGACGCTCACATCTTTTTAATATTTCATAATAAATAGCAAATAACTACCAAAAAGCGAAAGGAACTTCATTCAAACCGACGATTCATAGACCACTCACGGAGTTTTATTTAAAAATGTTAAAATAGAATTTAGAACATATACATCTTATTCCGAATGTTTTTTGGTTTTGGTGACCATCATTTGGAATTTTACCTACCTTTGAGTACCTCGACTCACTTCTCTTCAGCAAAGTCCTGTATAATGATCGTTGGTAATAGCAATACACCTTCAAGGGTCATAGTAGTGGCAGTATTAGTGAAAACTACCCTTTTTCAAACAATAACTTAAGTAGGTATTTTAAGTTATGTTTAAGTAACTTAACTTAAAAAGTACTGAGCTCCGTAAAAATAAAAATAAATTATAATGCTATGATAGCATGGCTAATGAAATGCAGCTTTTTAATGACAGAGGTTTCATTTCATTCACTCGGTACCGACTTTTATCATATATACAGCCTCGGACTGAAACCAGACCGTTAATTTATTACATTACATAAAATAATATAATAATAATATATCTCACAAGTCTCACACACACAGGCCGAGCCTGTACTATGGTAACCAGACTGCTGATAAAAATACTTATATGTTTTTAAATAGATACATATTATAGATAAATTACACCCAGACACAGAACTAATGACCGTGCTGATCACGCTATATTTGTCCTGGGTTGGAATCGAACCCACGACCTCCGTTTTAGCAGTCAGGGTCACTAACCCCTAGGCCAAAAGGCCCGTCTAAATGACAACAGTTTAAATAAATCGCGTATCATTCATTTCACAACCAATCGACTTTTTTTCGCAAGTACTATCACCACTATCAGTATGACTGATTAAAACGTAAATTACAAAAAAAGTCAAACCTAGCTAATCTTAAACTGTTATGAAAACTGAAATTAACATACACACAATTATTTTATTTAAACAATTATCCAAGTAAATCCGGCAATTCCTAGGTATGTAGTATCTATAACGTGATCGCATAAATTGATGTAAAAATACATACCTATTGTAAATTTATACATTTATGTACACAATTTTGTATATATCATGAATCACGAAAGTTTAAAATTTTAAATTTCCTGAAGACAAATTCCTTTCTCCTCTAATAATCCAACTCTATTCAATACCAACCAACTCTATTCCAATGCCAACTCTATTCAAGAAAATTGAATTAAATAGTCACCCAATAATCACTTACATACAAGAAAATTTCGTCATCAGCCTATCGCAGGCCACTTCTGGACATAGGCCTCTTCCATTGCAAGCGACTTAGATCGATTTTGGCCTGATTACATTAATTGATTATATTTTAAATTTTTATTGTACGCGGTTTAGTCTCCTTTAATCGAGACAATTCGAGTATGCATTAACTTTAATACATTTTATGTTTTTGTTAAGTATTTACTACAATCCAGTTGTAAATATTATTATTAATTAGTTAGGTATGACGGTTTTTTAAAAGTTATATATATGTTCTTCTACATACATAAACTTTATATATTTAAATTTCCACATGCCATGTTTGTGCGTGTTTGCTTAAAAAAGTCTTGGAAATTCTCTAAATATTTTAAACCATATCTTAAATCTATCATCATCATCAACAGGCTTTAATAGTCCACGTCGGGACATAGGCCTCTCCTTAAAAAGATTTTGGTCTACTATACCTACTATAAAACGCTTAAATCTATACTCCAGTTAAAATATTAAAACTTTATTGCCACAATTAATATTTAAAAATGTAACAACACAAGATTATCTAAAGATACGTCAATAAAACACACCCTTTGACAGAACTCGGATGCCGTCATCAAAAAAAAAAACTGTACCTACCTCTCGTTCCACATTCTCTAAATAAAGGAAGATCAACCTTCTTACTACAGCGGCCGTGATATCGTTTTCAGAATCGGTTTCGCTCAATAGAGAGGTATATATTCGCCAGATTCGTCCGAGAATATCACATTCAACGCGGGTTCGTCCTAAGAACAAGTCGTCTTCCCTAATATTATTTACTTTAATATATAATAATGAAACTGGTAAGTGATTTTCGATTATCAGGAGATGGCCGATACAGATTCTAATATTTAATATACACGTCTTGAGGATTTGTTTAGCCGTATTCGGTTATCCAGAGATGTGGCTCAGGTTTTCGCTCTCTGATCTTGGTAGTTCTTTCACCCTGCATCAATTTTCAACCCTTAAGTTGTTAAACAATGTTTATTGGACAGTGTGACTATTTTTTTAAGTCCTCATATCCTCAAGATATTAAATCTGTATAATCTATACATATAAATATAGATTATAAAGCTTATACAATGCTTATAAAATATTCGTGACAAATTTTTGGTACATTTGTTACTCTTCAATTTGCTTGTTCATGAGCCCTTACTTTTTCTCAAAAATTTTGAAAAGTTCAGAACTTTTGTAGTCAAAGTACTATACTACAGAGAACATTTCATGGTCATAATATAACCCTGTATTTAAAAAAATATACTTTGCGCCAAAAGCATGCATTCCATAAATTGCTATTAAAAATTATTAGTAAATACAGCATTTACAATTCCAAATCCACATTTCGAAGTATAATTACAGACTCGTAAGTTCAACTTACGAGTGTAATTAAACAAAATGTCTATAATTATAAGTAGCTCATCATTGATTAGAATTTCAATGAGGTAATAGTAATGTGAGGCAAAAAATCTGGGTTGCACAGAATTGGAGCATTTTAATACATCACCTCAATACAACTATAAGTATTGGATGCAATCTTAATAAGAGTACTGGTCATGTTTAAATTGTCATATTAATGAATTGTATTTATTAACGACCTAGGTGTGTTCCATTATGTTCTTTAATATTTCCTGTTTTGTCTTTTACAGTTCGTTGTAGCCGCTGTTCTGGGAGTTTGCTTGGCAGACCGCCTTGACAACAAATACCTCCCACCTAGAGGAAATGCCGGTGCTGGTGGTGTTGGTCCTGGATTCGGAGCAGGAGGCGCACCCGTTTTTGGTGGCGGAGCCGGTGGTGCCGGTGGATATAGCGGTGGAGCAGGTGGAGCTGGAGGTTTTGGCCGTTTAAGTGGTGCTGCAGGATTCGGTAATGGTGCTGGCGCTGGTGCAGGAGGTTTTGGCGCTGGCGGTGCTGGTGGCTACAGTGGTGGTCAATACTCTGGCAATATTTACAATGCCCCAGCTGCTCAATACAACGCCGGAGGCCGTGGTGGTGCCGCCTCTGCTGATGCCAATGCCGAAATTCTCAAACTGAATAGCGAAGTAACTGCCGAAGGTTTCTCTTACAACTTCGAAACCTCAAACGGAATCCGTGCTGATGCCGCTGGAGTTGCTACCAATGGTGTTCAGTCCCAAGGAAGCTTTGCGTACAAAGGCGACGATGGTCAGGACTACAGCATCACCTACACCGCTGACGAAAATGGATTCCAGCCTCAGGGAGCCCATTTGCCCACTCCTCCCCCAATCCCTGAAGAAATCCTGAAGTCTCTTGAGCAGAACGCCCGCGATGAAGCTGCTGGCATCGTTGATGATGGTAAGTCTTTTTTACAAATTTTAAAATAGTTAACTGAAAATTCACCTACAACTTTTATCACATATGTACATATATCAATATCATATTTACAACTATTGGATTAACGTAAGAAGCTTATATTTTTACAGGTTTACATTGTAAATCATTTTCTACACTAATTACGTAGACTTAATCATATTGACACATATAAAAAAAACCAGATCCTATAATAATATCGGTTATAAAGTATGGTCTAAGACAAAAAGTAATGTTAAAAATTATAGTAATCGTCTTTGACAAAAAGTACCATAAATCGTTAAGGTAATCGTGAGCTTTTAAATGTGCGGGTAACCGCCGATTGACCTTGCGATGATGTAGCAGTTAATGGATATCATTTAAGTTATCTAGGATAAATAGATTTCGATGAATCTATAGCTCCGAAAGAAATATATTCGATCACTCTTTAATTTTTTAAAGCGAATATAAAACAAATTACGTCATCCTCTATGGTATCATATCTTGAATTTTACAAAGAGCCGAATAAGCTGTTAACTGCTAAAATATAATTTCACCAAAAATTATTGCTCTCAAAAGACTATCAGTACTACAATGTTAGTAAGTCTACATTTGCTAACAAAACAGTGAACGCTACAGTTAATCTTGTCAGGTCCTACATTACCTCAGAATCAAGAGTACCTGATGAGTTACAAAATGACGTGGGATCGTTGCATCACGCATCGTGATCTCTCTGGAAGCACCGTGCTACATAGGTCGGTTCTTAATTGATTTCACAGCTCTAGACAAAACTTAAGTACAAATTGCTACAAGAGCTAGAATTATTAGATCTTCTTTATTCAGTTTCGTTTTGAGAAAGGTAATTTCATGAAAGCTGTTCGAAACAGTATAATGTTTCAAGTGTTGTAACTTTTCAGCGTAATTATCTTAAAGGCAGTTGGTATTATCGCATTTTCCAACTCTGTAAATGCATACGATCTCATCTCGACCGTAATTAAAAGCAGATCCACTAATTCAATTCACATGACCTGTCCTTACAATGCCTATATTTAGGACTTTGAATGTTTATAACTAGGTTAAACCGCAAACCGCCTTAGTTGAAGGCAGATGTTTCTTTTTCGAAACACCTTTATGTGAAACACTTCAAACGGTATATTGAAATGGCTAACCAATAATCACTTGATTTTATAATACTCATTGACTTTTAATAACAACAATGGCGGAATTATCGTTTACTTGTTCAGCAATTGGTAAGTCATTCTATTTTGTTACCACGACTTGGTTGACACGAAGTAAGGCTTTTAAATGTGAACATTACACCATCTTAAGATTTGCCTATTGTAAACTTATTTAAGAGGATACACTATTACTTATAAAAACGTAGAAATAGTTATTATTTTACATGAATATCACAAATGATGACGTTTTCTAAAACACATAAATCAAAAAGACGAATCTTTTATATTGATTGTATTTTTAAAATTTAGCACACGAGGCAATTTCTAAGCTTATAAAGTAATGATTGCCCAGATTCACTGTGTGGAACAAGTCCTAATAATTTTTATTAAATCTCTTCAACCATGAGAAAAATATTGCCTAAAAGATATACCTACATTTTGAACAGTACTTGCTTCCAAAAATCATGTTAGTAGCAGTTTACGAATTTTTTTAAGAAGTCTTATACTTTTATCTATTGAAAAATTTATTGCCAGAATTTGAAGAACTAATTTAATATTCACTTTTTAATATTATTATAGGCATATACATACTTAAATTAATTTTGACATTTAAAATGCAAAATTGGTCCATAGTTGAAAGCTAAAATTTAGATTTAATCAGGGTTTATGAAAAGCGTAAATCAGTCGACGAGTAGTGTAATTGATTATTACATGCACAGATGCGTAGATATTGTCTGTTATATTAAATTGTTTATTGAATTTAACTAAATCCTTGGTCATTGATAAATCTTTAGGCCTTAGTAAGCGTCTATATCGTTGTTGCTTGTCAAGTTTTTATTGTAGTTCATCATAATTATAGTGTGTCTACCTATCGTTTAGTACTTTTTTGTTTACGGGGTATAAAATATCTTCGAATCTCCGGCTTCTTGAGGAATCAGGAGTCACGGGTATGTGGTGTTTACACTAAAAACTACTGCAACGGCTAGCCTCAGCCCTACTCTGGGAAGGACCAAGTCCATGTAATTTCAAGTCCTCCCCGAATATGGTTTTAGTGCCTTAGAGGTTTTTATCAAACCCATTAACAGCCAAGAATATTTCCTTTCTAACTAATTTCATACAGGATTCCACAATTACCAATATTTATTATAGCTATCGCGATAGTAAAACTACACATCGGTGCAGGTCACGTTTCGTCTGCATTCATGACAAGGCGTGGTAGCTCATGATACAGATACATTAAAGGGCAGACATGTAACTGTTTTAAAATATAACAAACATGTAGAATATAATTCAGAACTGAAAGTTGACAGTCAACAGTAATTTTGGATATATTTTTTAATACTTAAAGATACTTAGAGAATATTTTTTAAAGATTTTCTAATAAAATAAAGATTACGTAAAAAAGACTCAATTGAATGACTTGCCATGGTAAGGACATTTAGGTCAGTCTCCACATTCCCATGAAAGAAAACCACAAAAACCTGAATTAATTATATTGAAAATATGACCACCATGGAATCAAACCACCGAACGGTAACAAATATTAACATTGGCGGTTAGCGACTGCCACTGCACAGATAAATAGATAAATTTATGTTTATTCCACATTTACTTTATTGTGTATTATGACAACTCTTGATAGTTACGCATATCTTGCGCATGAATATTGCTCTCACATAGACATAAAATATTCCATTCAGAAGCTAAAGGATTACCTAGTAATTTTATGACATTTACACACCAGCGGTAATCGCTAGTATTAAAGAGAACTGCTACAGTAATGAAATCTTCATCTAGATAATGACGAGTTACAACATGGATGTACCCTCAGCCTTATATTTTGTAACATACAACGAAAGTGTTTAGGTTCATTCGGTAAACTTGGTCTGTGATGTAGATTTTGTACTTATGTAGGCGAAAATTTTCAACATGAAAATCCTATTGGCGATTAATCCTAAATCTAAAATATAGATCGAGTCGTTGTTAGCCGTTCATTATCATTCTCCAAACTTTATTTTCCTTCTTTCACCAATTTATTTTTTTAAATATTTACTCCTTTATTCGGATTTAAAATTTTACAGATTTCATCACCAAATATTTATATTTCATCTTAATATCTATTCCTGTTTGATTCTTCTTTAGTCAGTGTTTCTTTTTTTCTTGACGGAACACTCATATAATTAATATTTTTGCTCAAATTTTAACGAACTCAAACGAAGTTATTGGCTCAGGCCGATTTTATGACAAAGAAATATGTTCACAGATTAATACACACAAAAAATCAAGTTAACATCTACAAATTTTCTTATTACAACTTAGATTCATATAAGGCTTTTGATCAAAGTTCTCATTGCAAAATGTGGGAACTAAAGATTCTGAGATATACTTCATTCTATATTAATTGCCCTAAAATTTACAACACATTTGAGAACATGGTTTGTGGAATGTTTTTTTACTAAACTGTTGATTTTATCAGCAATTGTTCATTTACAATTAACAAGGAATACAGTCAATGTTTACATTTCAAATTAGGTGTTTGATTTTCTCATAACTTATTATATATATATATATATTTAACAATATATATATATATATTTATATTATATTTTTTGAGGAATTTAAATTTTACCATTCACATATTTAGAGTAGTTTAATCAGTTTAGTCCACGACCCCCACAATCTCTACCCCTGTCTATGTTCAACCTCTAAATGTTGTCTATGTTCACCCCTAAGGGGTAGAACATGGATATTTGGGGTAGAACATGGATATTTTATGGAATTTTAATGTTTTTACAGCGTTCATGCTTTCCTTGTACATTGGTGAATTTTCAATCATCTATAGTCTTTTAATATCTATTTATTTCATCATTTACTTTTAATTCAACACTTTCTAACAGCAGTACTGATGTTACGTAGCTATTATGTACTCGTGCTTGTATTAGTATACAAGAACTATTTTGTAGGTTAACCGCTGACCTACCGACCTTTAGATAGCCATTCGCTGTAACCATTGCTCTATTGTCACTTCATCTTGACTTCTTCATTTTGACTGAGGATTTATTTACTTTAATAAAAAGATAATGCTATCGTCTACATAACATAAATTGGATGATTCCTGTATGTTTTAACAATTATAGTAGCAGTGAGAAAGCTTAAAAGGTAGTAACGTAGTTCAGAAAAACGGCATATTTCAATTACGGCACACTTTTGAAGTCTTTTAAGTTCCTCATCGAAGTTAAGAGTAATGATGTGTAAGACTCGGTCAATCACTTTACGCACTAAAGCGACTGTGTGCAAATGTGAATAAAATTGTATACAACTAACGCAAAGAGAACGCTTGATAAAAACGTAAGATGCAACTTTTCGTAACATGTTAGCTTCGGACGGTTGGACAGATTGACGATATATGATACTATGTTGGTTAAGAAGGTTATCCGACGGGTCATTGGAAGGTAATGAGACATAGTTTTCGGTGATTGAATATCGTTAATGCAATTTTAGAGATGATTAGTTGGTAATTGCATCAGAATTGTATTTTAACAGAAATTGTGGCTTACGTGTCTAATGGGACTATAGTTTATAACAGATCTAGATCAATGGAGTACTGGCGAATCTTTATCAGTATGACAACCTAACTTCAGTTCTGAGTAGAGCTACTTTCCTTGGAATCCTATTAAACTGGGTTTTATATGTACAGTAATATTCTTAGTGAAAGTAAGTAGAAATATAACACTCTTGTTCAATAATAACACTGGCTTTAGTGTGGTAGAAACTCTTCTGTATGCAGCTATTCCATTCACAAACTTCACCACATCTGGTACTGTATTTAAGTTTAGGTATTTACCTACGGACAGATTAATAATACCTAGTGTCACCACCCCTACCTACCACAGGTGTCGTAAGAGCCGACTAAGGGAGCAAACTACGCAGGACAACAGCACTGAAAAGAGAAGGAAAACCAATCCTTTTAGCCGGCGTGGTATAGTAGGCCAAAACATCCTTTCTAAGGAGAGGCTTGTGTCCAGCAGGGATTAATAAAGGCTGATGATGATCATTGAATCGAAATCATAAAGTATAGGATTATCTTCTTTTCTTCAATACGAATTCTAATTTTAAATCTCCACATACTACCTTATTTAATAACAACTAGTCACACTTGTCAACAATTACATCGGGAATACTCATCGCATCGTTCGTAAATAGCTTTACAATCTACATAATAATATAGCGCGGTCATCTTTGCATTCCAAATAACATCAACACAATTTAAATAACTTGAGCCAGTTAACGAGACCGTTCATCGGCAGCCTTGAAAGCTTTCGATGAGTCGTTTGCAGCCACAGAACAAGTGGCTTCTTTTAACCTAGTAAACAAGTAGAGCAAAATTTACATCTCAAAATAAAAAGTAATTGAATGAATTGAATAATTGAAATAAAAAATATTGACTATAAAAGACCAAAAAATAACCACATAAACCCAACCAATTGGTTTAGTTTCTTCTTAAAGCTGGGAAAGAAATTTAACATTTTATGGATACCATTGCATTGCAATAATTCAAAGACAATCACATAAATATTCTACAAGTACTTTACATATTTTGGAAACAAAATATTTCTTTAATGACATACTATAAACGCCAATTTAATATAAATAGATGTAATTGCAGTTCTGTACAATTGTGGGACGTTAGCCGCTGGTCCCATGGCCACTAAAGAGAACAATACAAAAATATGTGCGTGATGGCAAATTGCAAAATAATGTTGTAATTGAAAACTAACCAAATTATTATATGCCCCATTTATTACTACAATCTTTTCCAAAGGTCATTTATGGACGATACAATTTTAATCCTTATTTGAATGTACCGTAATTTTTGTTACCTGCAATTTTCTGGTAACCAATCAAATAATTCCTTTGATTTCCAATCTTGTGGTTCAAATTAACTGACTGCATAATTATCAATTAAATAATTCCTTTGATTTTCAATCTTGTGGTTCAAATAATTTGACTTCTTAATTATTTCATTTCATTTCATAATAATTATTATTATTAATCTACAACAGATTTAAGAATTATTGTGAAACCTTCAATTCTTTAGAAATCTTCTCTTGAACCCCATCAAAAAGCTGATTGAAACAGTGTTATTTGCTGTTCATTATTTAAATAGAACTTAACCCTATTCAATTCTAAACAACCTAACTTAGAAGTAAAACAATCACTAAGTTACTTAACATGAGATACGATCGCGTGTAATGCCTTGGGAACTTAAGTTGGTCCTAAGATAGGCATAAATTACGGACGTGACTCTTTAAGCTAATACTTACCACTTTAGTTGAACTGATCTCACGCCGTTAATGTTATCAGAGTCATGGGTCAAAACTGCTGAAATCTAAATATTGACTATGATTGTGTTTAACACTACTAGGGAACTGATTAGTTTTATACCACTCTTCTACTCGTACTACGAGTGGGAGGGAAATGGGTGCAGTATGCCTCCAATTGACTTTTTATACGCTATTAGTTCCTAGGTAGCATGAAAGCCCATGAAATTTTATTTATTAATTTTGATTTACGGGTTTAAACTTTATGGCCCCAAACTACGTAATGGGGCTTGCCGGTCATCACAGTGCTTTATTTTAGCCTGGTATTGAAACATTTTGTTTGTTTCAATAGCTTCTTTACTTACCTAAAAGTTTCCATTTTCTTTTTTTTTTTTTATTATGCCTTCATTTTTTTTATTTTGGAATGGTACAAGTTTTGCTTATGTGAGTTGTAATTGCCTCTAACTGAACGAGCACAAGACATGTTTTTGTATATTTTTTAATTATTGTTGAAATGTGTATCGTTTGTTGGCGATTTATTTAATTAAAACTTTTCATCACCATGAATTCTAGCTGACTCATTAAAAATCTTGAGGAAATCATAACGAACTACCAAAGAAAGGAAATCTCGAAACTCTTACTGATTGTGATTTATCATGTTTATTCTTCCTAAATAAGTGTAACTTTTTATTTCCAGGCATCTACCGCGGTGAAGGAGCTGGCGCTGGCGCTGGCAACGGCTACCCCTCTGGCGGACCTGGTGGATACGCCGGTGCCGGTGCCGGCTCTGGCTTCTCTGGTGCCGGTTCCAGCTACCCTGGTGCTGGTGGAGCCGGTGGTGCTGGAGGTGCTGGTGGTGCCCGTGGTGGTGCTGGAGCTGGAGCTTTCGGCAGCAGAGGTTCTCCCTTCGGTGGTGCGGCTTCCCGCCAATACCTGGCGCCCAACGCTGGAGGTGGTCGGGGTTCCGGTAACTTCAACGCTCAAACTGGATACCGTTACTAGATGAAGGCAATGTGGTGATGCTGTGGGAGGTTTTAGCTGGCTGTGCAAATTCATACGTATTGGGCGTAACCCACTTTTAAGTATGTGAAATGTATTTATTTTACATACATTTAAAAAATATAAATTCTTAATGCTTTCTTGAGTTTGCACAGATGTTACCCAATCGGTTGTGCTCGTGTATAAAAAGCGTATTTATTAAAAGAAAATATTTTTCATTTATTTATATAAATTTTCCCTCCGCATCATACACAGATTTTTGATGGAAAAACGAAAAATGCTGTGAACTGATTTATGTCATTATTTTTATTGTTACACATCTTTGTTTACGTAGAAATAATTCTGTCTCTCCTTTCTTTTATTAATGTGATCTCAAATCTTTGTATAAACTCTTTCTTCTGTTCTAAAATTGACTTCTCTGTTTAAATAATAATAATTAAGTTTTTATACGGCAATCCAAGGACAGTAATAGAGATAAGACGGAAAATGAATAAAAAAATATTACATTTAGTACATAAGAATTGTAAATATGAAACGAAACGAATATACGACTTAATGCAAAATCGTAGTTTTTTAATTTCTCACTAAAATATAATATACATTTTCAAAGAAACTACTGGAACCCACCCGAGTGTAGTGACATGATAAGGGGATTAGAAATAAAAAATAATATTACGATCTATCAACACAATATCAGGCTTATTGGCAACAATAGTCCTGTCTGTGATAATAGATCGATCCCAATACAACGTGGCCCGACCATTCTCGAGAACTGGGTCGGGCACATACCTATAGTATGGCACCTCTAGATTCACAAGATGGTATTTAAGGGCAAGCTGTTGGTGTACGATCCTGGCTACTTGGTTGTGCCTGTGCAAATATTCTCCGTTAGCAAGACGAGAACAACCAGAAATAATATGCCTGATTGATTCGCCAGGACGGTGGCATGCCCGACAGATGTCAACCGTACCATCTTTCAGGATTATATTTCCGATAGTTATTCGTCATGATAACTTCGTCCATAATCGCACAAACAAAACCTTCAGTTTTCTCCAAAGAGATCACCATGCCGTAGCCAAGTCGTAGATGCTTTTAAATCTATATCGGACCCGTTTAGGGCCCGATAAAACCGACCATGGAGCTCTTTGCCCTTCCATACTTCCCTGCGATCATTAACACCAAGTACTACAGGTCTGCGCCAATTCTCTTCTGCCAGAGCGAGCGGGGTGAAGCCGGTATCCACTGCAACTACATTGCGATGCACTCCCACGTCGGTATGTAGAAAATATTCTCTGAGATTGCATACCTCGCGATTATGTAGGGTCTTGATATTTAATAGACCGCGACCCCCAAGCTTTCGCGGGATATACAATCTCATAACTGATGAACGTGGGTGGTGCATTCGGGATGCAGTCAGCAGTGTGCGGACTTTCCTGTCAAGGGCATCTAATTCGGTCTGAGTCCATCTAAGTATACCAAAGGAATACATTAGAACCGGCATGACCCAACCATTGCAGGCTCGCACCTTGTTGCCCCCTGATAAAAGACTTTTAAGTACTTTTTTCAAGCGGCCAAAAAAGCGTTCCTGCAATGTTTGTTTCATGTTAGATTCTGGTATTCCCAACGACTGTGATATACCCAGATACTTGTAAGTTTCAGTGGCAGACAGAGATCTGAGTTTTGTTGAATCCAAAAGCTCTATTCCTTCAGATTCAACTATCACACCCTTCTTTACATACATGACTGCACACTTGTCTACACCAAATTCCATTTTGATAGAATTACTAAAGTTTTCCGTCACCTTTAGTAACTTTGTCAATTGTAATTTGTTGGAGGCTAACAGTTTCAAATCATCCATATAAAGAAGGTGAGATATAACTTGATCATCTTTCTGCAACCTATAGCCTAACCCTGAACCCTCTAATAAAGTGCTAAGAGGGTTCAAAGCCAGACAAAACCACAAGGGACTCAGACTATCACCTTGAAATATACCCCGCTCGATCTTTATTAGTACATCGTGTATCGCTGTCTGCCGACATCCTGGATAGCGAAGTGCCGTTCTCCATTGCCCCATACATGACTTCAAGAAAGTGCACAGAGTTGTATCAATTTTATACAACTCCAGCACCTTCAAAAGCCATGTGTGTGGAACCGAGTCATAAGCCTTCTTATAATCTATCCAACACGTCGCCAAACTCTTACGATTACAACGTACCTGTTGGCTAATGGTCATGTCTATGATAAGGAGGTCTTTAGTGCCACGGGTCCCACTTCTACATCCATTCTGAGAAACTGACATAATCGAATTATTATTAATATGTAAAGTAATTTTGAGTCTCAGAATAGATGTTAGAAGTTTATACATGGTAGGTAAACATGTAATAGGTCGAAAATTTTTGGGATCCATGACACTACCAGACTTATAGAGTAAGTGGGTTATGCCAGTGGTTAAAAATTGGGGTAATGAACCCGAATCCAAAGCTGCCTGGAATTGAGATGCCAAACGCGCATGTGAGCTTCGGAACCACTTAAGCCAAAAGTTGTGCAGTCCGTCTGGACCAGGTGATTTCCAATTCGGTAATGAACGAACTGCACAACTTACATCATCTTTATCAATTTTAACAGGTTCCATAGGTGTTATAGACTCACATGAGCGTCTGACATCCTGCAACCAATCACCTTCTATATGAGTGACAGGCACCGACCAGATGTTACGCCAAAATGTATTTGTGACATTTTCATCTGGCAAATGCCTATCACCCACACATGGATCCGGTTCCTCCCATTTCCGGTACACCCACTTCTCATTTCTTTGGAACATCCGATTCTGATTATACCGATCTATTCGTTTTTTATACCGTCTTATCCTATTTGCCCATGCATAAATTTTCTGCTTTAGAAAGTCTATGCGCTCTGTGACACATGACATGTACTGCTGAGGACTAATGGTAGTCCCCAAGAATGCCTGTTTCACAAAGCGCATCACTCTCGGCCGCATATTCCCTGATCGGTAGCTAATAAGCTTACCGATGAGTGTCCTGGTCTCAGTAATACGACGTTCAATTCTATACTGCCAAGCTGGTACAGTAGATTTAGGTCGAGTAGTAGTGACATTGTTAGCTATTTTAACACCAGCTACTCGACAAGCTGCAATAGCCGCACAATATAGAATAGAATGTGTATCACTAAGATCTTCGCTATTATCTAAATATTCAGGCAATAACGAATCCAGGGCACCCACCAGCGCTAAATTTCGTTTATGAATGGGCAAACGGAATAACCGGGGCCTATCATTGCAATTTAAATATCGGTATTCCAGAATCGCATCCTCCAAAGCACTCCTTATCCTATCATTGTATTGGGTACTTACGGATATAACTTCACTCTCCACTAGTTCATCAATATCATCAGTATATGATGCCAACTGAGGTGTGCTGTTGGCTACCGAATCCACAGTGTGTGACGAAGAAGGGATAATTAAGCTATTCCGTATGTCAGAGCGTATCCTCTCAAGTACTGCATCATCCAGCAGATGACAGCGCTGTATAGCTCGTACTTGATCCGACAATCGTTGTGCTGATACGTTGACAGCTGGTTCAAGCTCCTGAAACAAAGAGACTAGTCGAACACGGTACGCAGTAAGGTTCGTTCCCACCTCTGTAGCCCGATAATATGCCCGCATGACATTTTCATTAATAGACTTTGTCCACTTCATGCGGCGCACATCACCACCGGTAGCGGGGACCCTGTTCGAGGTCAGTAGTCCTCGGGATCCCAAGCTGGTCGGTGGCCGGCCTCTCCCCTGCCGACGTACAGGTGTTGGCGACGTCGGCGGAGAGAAAAACTCGTCGCTTGAAGTTGAGCTCGACGCCTCAGCCACGGCCGGAACTTCTGTTGTAGCTTCCGGGGACGGCAAGACGGAGCGGAGCGACGAGTCCGGGGATGTTGTCAGTGCTCTGGATCTAGCTCGGGTTAACATTTTCTAGTCGAATTTCTAATTTCTTTCATTTTCAATATTTTTTGTATTTTGACATGACGTTAAACGTCATGTCTTACTATCAACATATATCTATATATATTATTTACTAGCTGACCCGGCGAACTCTGTTCCGCCTTAAAGGTAATAAATAAGCCGATTTTCGAATTTAGTAAGTTAATTTTTTTCTTAGAAAAAAAAATGAAGTACATTAATCATTTATTATTGTTTCTGCATTTCAGTACCCGTGAACATGCCACATATAATTGACCATGGGAAAAACATGGATGTTCTAGATTCAAACCACAAACTTTTAAGGATTGGCCTTGTGATTTGTTGATGGTCATGGAAAATGCAAGATGGATCGGAAATTGAAGTCTTTTAAATTCAAACGGCAAATCGGTTGGGATCATCGGGATCCTCGGAATGAGAACTTTCTCACCTTTGAATTTTCCTTTCAGTATCGTCGCGTAAATTACATTGTTCATCAATTTTCTAACCACCAAACGCGTACCGTTGCACAGTTTTGGTTGGTTTATGTTTCGAAGCATGATTACTACGGAGCCAACCTTTAGGCGTAAATTGTGCGGTGGTAAGCCAGGCACATCAAGGGAGTTTAAAAGTTCAATTGGATAGTTGGTGGCTTCATCTTCATTTATGACGCAGTCAATAGATTTGAATGAATGCATTGTTTCAATGATCTTATTTTGAATTATATAGTTCAGGGCGTCTACATCTTTATTCTGAGCCGCTAAAATTGCTCGCTCACTCAACCATTCATTATTTTTGTAGTTAGAAATAATGTCTTTAAATACATTGTTGATAAGTTCGTCTTTTGATGAGACAAAATTACAGAAATTATTTGGAAATGATATCAATCCGCTCGATTCATCGACAGGTACTTGACCATTACCGATAGTCAGCAATTGCTCAGAGAAATCTTGAGCAGATGTATCATTAAGCAATGCAACTCTATAATAGCGCCATAGATTCGACGATTTGAGGCAAGCGTTTATTTTCGTCAGCAGCCGTAGATCTTGGAATTACTGGCAGTGTTTGGCGGAAATCGCCAGACAGTAAAATCATTGCTCCTCCAAAACATCTCGAGTCATTCCGTAAATCTTTCAATGTTTGGTTAAGTGCTTCTAATGCACGTTTATGCGCCATTGTGCATTCGTCCCAGATGATGATTTTCGATGCCGATAAAACTTTGGCCATTGCTGAATTTTTCGTAATATTACACGTTGGTTCTTTAATAGTTTGAAGATTTAACGGTAATTTTAATGCTGAATGAGCCGTACGGCATCCTTCTAACAATGTGGCTGCTATTCCAGTAGAAGCAACTGCAACCGCTATGTTGGATCTCGCACGAACAGTGGCTAAAACTACTGACATGAGGAATGTCTTACCTGTTCCACCAGGGGCATCTAGGAAATATAAACCACCATTTCCATCATCGATTGCCTTCATTAAAGTATCATAAACTTCCTTTTGTTGGGAATTCAACAGGGGTACATTCGTTTGAACTACTAAATCTAATTCCTGGTGATCATATTAACGTTCCCGTTCCAATTCTCGATTAAATGCGTCATTCATTTCACGATTGGGCGCTGGTATTCCTAACCTGATTAATAAACTACCGCACATGAGGTAACACATATCTTCGATCAAGAGTAAAGCACGATTATGTATCTCCTCATTCATCTCAACATCGTGATTTCTGGAAGTGATACGAATTTAATGTAAAAATATCTTCTGACATATTATCCTTATATTTGTGCCACAGGTTACATGGGTTTGATGGAAAGCATGTCTAAATTATGATAGCGAATAATGTGCGTATCTGACTTGGAGATGCAGAGATAATGGCTTCAGCGATTGTCGTATCCCAATGGGTATCGTTTTTCTAATAAGTACAGTTCTTCACATGCAGCACGATATGTTGGGAATATTACACCATTAACAGTTCGTAGTGTCTCAAATGACGTTGGCCCACGCACATTTATCAGCAACAACCGCAAATAGAAACATTAATCATTCTTTGGATGGACTGTATACATACGACCAAGAGCATCAGTGGAACGCACATCCGGATACCCAGGAACCGCATCGCCTTGCTTCCGTCTTTGAAAATTCTTCGATGAAGCATTCCAAGTATAATAACGTGGCATCTCCGAGTAAAGCAAAGTTCGTAAAAAAACATTATTATTAAATGAACTCCAGATAAAAATAAATTACATTTTATTAGTAATATTATTTATATATTGCCAAGATAAAATCTTGCGTTTTTTAACCCGCTTCGGTAGCAAAAAGCTTACGGTCCACTTGAACTGACTGCATGGATGGCGTAGTAGTTGAAGCGGTTACCTCGCCGCTTCCTACTCTGCTGAGTGATGTGGGTCCGATCCACAAATGGGACGACACTTTGTGTGATTCACAAATTGTTGTTCTGAATCTGGGTGTTCTTTGTGTCCGTTTCATGAATGTATGTGAAGTCCCCCACGATACAGGATATATTCCTAATGCGGGAGTCGTCTTTGAAAACAAAAGAAGTAGAGCGTTTAAGGGAACTTATGGATGTTTGCAATGCCAGGAAAATCGCGACTCTTTAAAAACCCAAATACTCTTGAAAAAAACGAGTGTGCTTTAGACCACACAACTGAAGTAAAACTTCTTTAGCTCCTTACGTAACTGGCTATGAGGGAAAGAGAGAAAGAAAACGTGTGCCCGCACCTCTCTCTCTTGCCTCTACAGTAACATACAAAACGTAACTCTCTCTCTTTCTATTTTCACTAACTTATATCTCCCTCTCAACTTCCGTTCGCCTCTCAAGATCACACTTTTCGCAACGCTCTCGTCACGCATTCACCAGCTTACTTTCCAAGTCAAGCGTGCGTAAAGATGTTTTACTTCAAAAGTCAAAACTTGAAGCTCTTTCCACGAACGGTGCTGATCATTATTCATCATCATCATCATCATCAGCCTATCGCAGTCCACTGTTGGACATAGGCCTCTCCCATTGTATTGGTGCTGACTTGGCTGCAGGTAATTCCTCTTGTAACTGTACCTTGTAGAATTTAATCCCGCAACTTACATTACGATACCACTGCTGTGATATATCTACATTTCTATAAAATGCTGAAGAGCTAACTCATATATGGCTGGTATTCAAATCGTCATCTTCTTAAAAAAAAAGTTTTCTTCTTCCATTCTCCTATATCACTCGTCAGACCACTGCTTACTTCCTTAAGTAAAATGTTTTTTCAGTTTTTCTTTTGTGGCTATGTGCCTGACGCTAACCCTACTTGAGAACTTGGTTAATTTTTTTTTCGTAAATAGTATGGAGCGAAATTCTACTTACATCGTGCGCAGTTCAAGTCTGAAGTTGAATTTTTAAAAATTCTATCAATGCAGTACTCATGACAAAGGACACTCTGTCGAAAGACTTATTTGCTGGTATCTATTGATATCAACCTCTCCAATTTATGATGATTACGAGATGTTTATAGTATGAAAGAAACTTTATAAGAAAGTTTATAGTATGAAAAATTTGAATGTGAAACATACTCGTATCTATCTTTCATACTCAAATTATCTATCTTTAATTATAATTATCTATCTATACAAATAAATAAAATTGAAGTGGCTGTTTGTATTATAAAATAATAGTTTTTTTTTCATGCTCACACGATTATTTACACGATACCTATGCCTGAAAACCAGTTAAAATATTTTTTGGCTGTCTGTCTGTTTGTTATGGATAATCTTGATCGATTTTGATAATATTTTACTACCAGGTAGCTGTCTATATAAGGAGCAACTTAGGCTATTTTCAGTCGCAAAAAATATTCTATAAAATTTTGCAGGTTCTGAAAATCGAACCCGAGGGCTCATCTACTGCAGTCGCGTACCGTACTACATCACTAAAGTAGCGCTTTTATTCGTGTTAAGACGCGTGTACTGGCTAATACATAATATACTTTTACCTACTCTTGACAACGTATATGTAAAGCTCATAATGATCTGTTCAGTAGTAGATTTCAGTTTCTCTGTCATAAACGTGAATCGGGTCCCTATCTCAGGCCTAGATTTACTGACTACTACACCAACAGGCTTGTCAACCTACGATTGATATATCATATTTCATGAACGAATAAAGCTTAGTACATTTTTTTCGTCCAATGATGTCAAAGGTGTGGTGGAAGACATCAACAGTTATTATTCGACTATACTTCAAGAATCGGCGCTCTTTGTTCACAATGGTGTGTGGTAAAAGGAACATTTGCGAAACGAATGTTTGATTTCATCTATCTGAACACAATGAAGTAGAAGTTCGAGCAAAATGTCATAGATGGAGTTAGTGTAGCTTATTGAAAGTCGTTATACTACCATTTTTTACACTACTAGGGTGACAAACCAGTATAGCTACAACTTAATTGTAAGTGTGCTCTAATCTGAACAAGTAGCATCTATGTATCATTTATAAATAAACACGATTATAAGTTGCTTTGTTTGTAAAGTATATAATCAATGACGACCGTTTGTGTAACGGACTGCTATTGCAAAGGTCGCGGGTTCGATTCCCGCTCAAGTCAAACATTTGTGTGCATGAAAATATATTATTTGATTTGGTCTGGATGTTTCTACGTATAATATGTATTTAGTATTAGTATTTACAAAAAAAGTATACTATATATATATGTATTTATATCGGTTGTCAAGTACCCATAGTACAAGCTCTGCTTAGTTTGGGACTAAATGGCGTTGTGTGAATGTGGTAGAATAATATTAAAAAAAAGAGCTATATATAAGTTTTCAATAATAAGTTTTCAAGTTTACATTGCTTTTTTTTTAAGTTACATATTTTACTATGTTCTATTCTCCAAACTGTGCTAACAGTTTGTAGGCGTTCCGTTCAATTTATAATAAAATTAGTACTTAAATGCTACTTTTTAAATTACTACTATAACGGTATTCTAACTAAAAAAACAAAATGTATATCCTAGAAATAAACAATACATAAATATGTATAACCTGACTATTTCCTGGATACCCGCTCCCTTATTTATGTACACGTTTTTATCTATTACCATATCCAAACATTTCTTTTAGTTTTAGTTTAAATTTGAATTTGATATTTTTTACATAACTTTGGTACTACTCGTACATACTTCCTAGTCATTTCCCCATAATAATTATTAACTTTTAACTGCTCAAGTTTTTACAATATTCTTTGTTGAAAATTAACTAATCTACTACTATATATTAGTAATAAATCTACATCTATATTTTTTTTTAATGATCAACAGCCCTTAACAGTCCACTGTTGGACATAGACCTCTCCTTACAATAGAGGTTTTGGCCTACTATACCACGCTGGCCAAGTTTAAGTTTTCCTTCTCTTTTGCAGTGCTGTTGTCCTACGTAGTTTTCTCCCTTAGTCGGCACACTCTATATTCTTATACCGTCACAAATATTTAAATTTCATTTCAATTTTTAAATTGGCTTCAAACGATTTAGATTTTAAATATTTAATTATCTCTTTGTCCTCTGTTTTACCTTTTTTTGATACTGTTGCTATTGACAATATATTTTTTTTTTATGCAACAACCAGCAAATGAGCAGACGTGTTACCTGATAGTAAGAGACTACCGCCACCAAGAGACACCTGTAACTACAAGACATAAAGGTACTATTTGTGTGGCACCCAAAGAATTATGAGGTGTGGTTGGGCATTTTCTTTCACGAATGCCGTTCAAATTTCGACCTCTGAGTGACAATATTTAGATGCCTTTTACAATATTGTGTGATGAGCACGGTCATTTGTTCTGTGTCTGGGTGTAATTTATCTAAAATATGTATATATTTCAAAATGTATATGTATGTTTATGATCGGTCTGGTTACCATAGTACAGGCTCTGCCTAGTTTGGGATCAGACGGCCGTGTGTAAGATGTGTGAGATATATTATTATTATATTTTTATTCTAGAAAAGATTTAACACGAGACGAATGACCAACTATTATAGATAATTTTACTTGTATACTTTGAAAAACCTGTCGGAGAGCTAAGGTATTCTAACTCATCATGCCTATAAATGGTAGTGGTCTTCGGTACAAAGTGAATGGCAGATGTAATAGATATTAATCTATTAAGAGTGACTTGGTCGACAACACGAACTCATTACTGGGAGTGGTTAATTATGTGAACTATGTTAACTGCATTCGTATTGCAATTGAATGAATGATGATTTGTTATAAAACAACGATAGAAATACATTTCTTTTATGAACTTCGTCACCAATAACATTAAATCGTGCATGATTTTGTTTTATAATTAATTTAGAAGGACACGGTCATAGCAATAATAATTTATTTTGCTATATGTAGAATTAAAACAACGAAAAATAAATAAGCAAGAAATGCAGTACTTTGAAGAGCCCAGATCGCGTAACCAAAATTGGACATGGTA